TTACACCACACTCATTTCACTGGACACATTTCAGATAAACACTTGCTCGGAACTAGCTCACAGCTGCAGTGCACTTTGTAAAACATTTCTGAATGGAAATGCATTCTTAAAATTTGCAACTCTGGACTCCAGCAGCTTCTGAGACAAAAAATGCTGATTGTTTCTCCTTCAGTGATTTGTGCTTTTTAAAACAGGATAATCAGTGTGACTGACCCAGTACTGCCACAGGAGGAACTAAATTAATATTTTCTTTTTTCATAGCACAATAACCTGATTGAATGAAATACTGATTATCCTCTTCAGCCTTTTCAGGTCGGATTTCTCAAGACAGGTTCCTATCAACACACAAGCAGAGTCACTGATTGTGCCAACTGTCTCCAGGCAGTGAAATTTTGAGCCTCTGACCCAACATCAGACAAACATGCCAGTGAAAGTTGTGCAGAAAGGAGGTTCCTTTCAAGCAGACTGAGAACTGTCCATGAGCTAGGAGAAAGACCTGGGGAACAGCTCGCAGAGGAATGACACAGCCCTTCCCTGGCTGCATCCTTACAACCCTGCAGCTGCACATGCAGCCCTGAGTTAGGCACAGTAAGTGCCCATCCCATGCCCAGAGTGCAGTCAGGAAAGAGACAACAGTGCACATCAGGACATCAACAACTGCTGCAAAAGGACCTCGCTTTATTGACCCACATGTTTCCAAGCTAACGATTGATAAGCACATCCAATGGACTGTGACTTCTGAAACTTCAAGATATGCAGCCCAGCTCAGGCCTACTGCCAGACCTCTTTCCTCCTTCTGCCAGACCTGGGGAGATTCTGCCATGCTGCAGCTCTTATCTCTAGGCACTGACTGAAAAGAAACTGCTGCTCTGTGGGGTTGGAGCAGCAGCTGGCAGGCAAAAAGGTTACTGCCAGGTGACTCTGACAAGCTTTTGCAAAAAACTTTCAATGCAGTTATTTTTTCTGGAGCACGGCAGGGCAGCAGACAGGAATGCAATACAACAAACTGTCCTGGAGCAAACGGACCCTTGTGCAGTCCCAGGGTTAACTCATCCTTGCATAGGACCACACCTTCAGCTTGGTCACAGAGCTCCAGAAGAACACCCTCCCATCCTCCTCCTTTGGTGGAAGGAAGCCTGTTGGGATTATGATGAGTACACGATAAAAGCAGTGCCTGCATGAGTCCACTCCCTCATAGGCTCTCCCACCCCTGCATAAAAAGTACACACTTCCCCCCTACAGGAGCCCCACAAAAGCTGTTGTCCCCACAAGGATGTGACTCTCCCAGTGCACTGACCAGCAGGTGTGCACTGACCTCTGTGTGCAGCAGTGCTGCTGCCAGATCCAGAGCCAACCTTCTTACCCTCTCCACTGCCTCATGTTAAACACTACCTTTTCTCATGATGCAATTTATTAGAAAGTGACTGGGAGTCAAGTATCTTAGAAGGAGTGAGGACACAAAGATAAATAACAGGGTAAGTTCTTGTAAGTTTTTTGTCACAAAGCAAAAGCAGTTAGTAATACGAGGAGCATCAGATCCCAGCTGTAGCAGAGTCAGCATCTGTGAATCCTGAATGATGAGAGAGGGGAAGTGACAAGTTTGGAAATATTTTACTACATAATATAAAGAAAATTTACAAGTAATGAGCAATCTTTTAACCTCATAATGACTTTTTTTCCTCATATAACACAATGTCTCCTATATTCTAAAGCTTTTAAACTTTGAGGCTGCTTTTGTCCTTTTTGTAACATAATCATAATTCTAATCCACCTCAATAATTAAAGTCATTAAATTACTCTTTTACTAGGTGACTGACAGAACTAGTTTAGTTCTTGAACAAAATGAAGATTAAGTGATTATTTCTTTGATAGGTATTAACACAACTCATTACAAAAGCACTTCTGTCAAGGTTAGTACCATAATTTACAGAGCTATATTATTTAGGTTTGCAACTTTGAAAAAGTACTTAAACACTTGAACAGAACTCTAAGTTTCCATAAAGTACTAATTCCAAAAGTAATCAGGTGAATTGTCAAAGAGAACATAATGAAAATTTCTGTTCCTTTGACTAGCTTAGTTGTTTACTTAATCATAGGAAAATTTCCACCTATCAATCATCAGCCCACCAGGACATACTACACAATCTTCCCTCTACAAATGCTGTTACTCAGCATGCATCCCCTTTCTGATTTTATTGCTTCCATCTCTTTCCAACTTCTCTGGTCTCCCCTCTCTCAGAACAGGGGAGGATGCTACAGGACCTAGTAGCCATATTGCTACAAAAAGAAGGAAAATGAGAGAAGAAGGGAGAAATGAAGACATCATTAAAAATAAGACATGAGGAGCTCTGATCAGATGTGGCCACATACTGTAACCTTATTCTCCATTTCCGTCAGTTTACATTTATTAAAGGAACTATTTGCTAAATAAACTTAACATATCAGCTGCTTTGTCCCATTCTGTCCCAGTTCAGAGATAGATGCACGTTACTGCTTTTCTCAGCCAAGCCATGAGGATCTTCAAACAACCCCTTCTCTGGCAGTAGTAAAGGCTGTGACCTTTACTGGGGACATGGACTCCACTCATGCACCATGGGTGACATAATTACTGTGGTTTAAGAAGTTACCACCTCCAACCAGGACGTGATGATTGTCCAAAAGGTCTTTAAATACAGCAGCTTAATTCTCATTGCTCTCCCCATTAAGTTTAAAGTCACACAGACACTTGAAACTCATCTCTTTTACTTTGCCATGAGGCTTGCTAAGAGCATGGCTGGCAGCCAGCCATTTTGGCCCAGCTGATGGGCAGAGGATGCCCAGTGTGATTGCTTCTGACAGTGTAACCATCCACATACATGTTATTTGTGCACTGAGCAGTAAATAACTGCATAGAGCAGTGGTCATCAGCTAGTCCCCATCTGGTAAACAGCCATGCAAGTTTACAAATTTAGTCCTAAGAGTAGCCTGGCTGGACTGTTACATGCTCCTTCAGTGCTTCTGTGACTGGGGTCTCTTCTCTGATGTGCTTTTAGACAGAGAAGCGGACACAGGAAGGGAAGTTCAGAAGAAATATTTCCAACAGCTCCTTCAACAGAAAGCAAACACCAGTGGAAATCACTTACTCTCACAGTAGGAATAGCCCAGTAAAGGTTAGAGACCATCCAGTCAATTTACGATTGCACGGGACTAGAAACTGTATGTGGTACCTGCAATGTATATAAAACTGCAATTTACCCTGGAAAAAAGCAAGAGCACTAACATTTGCTTTTGTGTGAACATACTCCAACTGCAGTACAGCAGCACAGAGCTGTGTATTGTCCCATCAGTCCCCAGACTCATCGGTGTCCAATGCCATATGAAGTACCGAGTCAAGAGTAGAACCAGAGAGGGGAATGTGCTCTGGAAAGCCTCTGGGCACAACTGGTAAGGAGAGTGGCTATCCTTGACCTGGATCTGTTCGACAGCAAGGGAACATAAGCTTTTATGCTATTTTATCTTGACTAAACACAGCACTCTTGCCAAGCAGTTTTAGATGAGAATTCTGCAGTTCTATGCTTAATGCTTTACAAAGAAACTGTTGTTCTGAAGAACAAGGGCTTTTTTTTCTCCTTTTGCTAAGTAGCATATGCAGGAAATTGGAAAACTGAAACTCAGGTCCCCATAAGGGAGTTAAGGCAAGGCAAAACACTACCTGGCAGTGGTTATCACAGTATGGCATTACGATTCACAGATAAAAAATAGAAAGGAAAAAGTCAAACCAGAGCATAAAGAAGGTCTAGTAGGTAAGTTGCCTTCTGGATATCACAGGTACTGAATTTTCCAAGGAAGTGTGTGTATGAAATATACACCAATATTTTGGAAGTAAATCCTGACTCATTCTGTACCAAAGGGGCTCCCATTCAGAAAATGCTTTAAGCATCAAAGTAACTTTCTGAACATTCCCTCAACAACACTGCAAGCTAGAAAACCACTTTGAATAGCTAGTATAAGCATGCTCAAGCCAAGCAAGTAAAGAGAACAATGTGAACAAAGGACAAAATTGCTTTGGTTTGGGTTTGGCAGGGAGTAGTTATTTGTAAAAAGGTAAAAATTATCCCAGCAAATTTAAAAGCAATGTAAGAGAAGTCATTACAAAACAATGGAAGAGAAGACAGAGTCACAAATGATCACAGCACTGTGTGAACTTGCTGCTGTATTTTTTCTGTAGACCAGTGCACTCACATACGTACCACAGTGAAGGTTTTCTCTCTCAAAAAGCTTTACAAGTTGCCTTTGCAATTTGGAAATCTTAGTGTTATCACTGAGTTATCCAGTAAACAGTATGAGAAGATAATCTAATTTAACACTCCAAGAGTGGGCACAAGATTAAAGTTTTCTGTCCCACACTTTCTTATAGAGGGTTTCCTAGTAATGACTGTAAATGTCTCATTAGAGCTTTCTTAAATGTCAGTTTCAGGCTCTGACACAAAAATAAATGCTCATGTTATTTGCTACAAATGTATTAACGGATTATGAAAAACTGATGAGCAGATATGTGAGAAAAAGTGACTAGCTAATATATGAGTTACACTGACAGTTATTTGCTGCAGGCTCAAAATATTTTCACCCTCTTTATTACTTTTGATATGCATGATCTCTTTAGTCCATTTCTAATTGCCAGTGTAGCACAGCTTGAACTCCAATACGTTGCTAATGGCAACAGTGTTAGTTTCACGTGTTTGTTTCACTAAAACCTGTTTCACCTCGGAACTGTCCAGCTGCACTTGGATAACGGATCAGACCTCAGAGCTGTAAGGGAGCTCCCGCTGCCTTCAGCAGTGCTGCACCAGCTCCTAATTGACAGAGAGTCTACTCTGATAGCTGCCGTGTTTTCAAGTAAAAATAAGGAACATGACATTGCCCTTCCTGGAAAAGTATTCCAACACTACACAGATAACCTACACAAACACACACACACACACACACACACTTACTTGCTTTATGTAAGACAACCACCGTACCTCATTCCTTCTGTAGATCTGTTCTGGTAGTTGCGGTAGAGCTGGGGAACACCCAACATGGCCTCGGTGAACACTGCAAGGAAGCCCAGCGTCTCCACAAAGAGAGATGAGTCCAGCCAGAGGTAAGTGATGTAACCAGTCACACCAGTGAAGGTGAGGACACACTGCACGTAGTCTGTAAACTTGCTCCAATGCCAGAAATAGTTCAAGTCAAAATCTGCAACAGGATAGGAAGGAAAGAAGAATAAAATGTGTTTTCTCAACCAACCCAAAGTTAATCAGGTGGAATTAAGAACAGGGAAGCAAGAGGGAGCCACATTCAGACTTTGGTGGTAGGAGATAGTAGAAAATGAGGGAAATAATAAAAAAAATAAACCCAAACCAATCAAACAAATACCCCCATCAAAAAAAAATCAAACACAAAAGCAACATGAAAAATAAAGAGTCTTGATTTCAAAAACATTTTTTGGGGGGTGTTCAATAAGGAAACAAAAACACCAAGTCTTGCAAGCCAGCAAAATATTTATAAAAAATAACTTTTTTAAAAGGAAGCATTTTAAAAATACCTTCATATAAAACATATAAACATATAAAACATGAAGGACTCTGGATACTAGTCTAGTTGGGCTGGCATAAGAAACGTTTTACAAAAAACTTCACAATACCAAGAACAGGCCCTGAGTACAGCAATCTAAGTATTCTCTCTTAGGTCATTATCTCTACCTTCAAACTGCCTCCATCCTGAGTGCCATGATCTAGTAATCACAGTGAGGTTGATGAAGGGTTGGGCTTGATGATCTCGGGGGTCTCTTCCAACACAGTTAATTCTACGATTCTATGATTCTAATCCAAGCTCCTTAGAAAGTCACCTAGAAGTGACCTGAGATGTTCACAGCTCTGTTCTCTGGTGCTGTGCAGCTGCCTGCGGTGAAGGGCAAGCTGCTATGTGCAGCTGGTACAGTTTTACTGAGACGGGTACAAGACTGAGGCAAGACTCCCCTCTGGAACAAGGCTTCCCACAGACATCATCACTTTCCACTCCAAAGGCAAAATATGCTTTGCTCTCACCTTTGCCCTTACCAACAACTGCAGGGAGAACACCCATTTCTACATCTCTCAGAACAAACTACTGTACCACAAAACACGACTTCCTCTCTTAGAGCAGGAGAGAAAGAATGAACCAACCATGGCATTTGCTTGGTATATTAACAGCATACCGCTGGAAGATGTGCAGCTGTCTCACTGATGACTAATAAAACATAAAATCCCATAACCATTGACTGTGTAACAAAATAATAACATCATTTTTAATAATAAGAACGCAATAATAACTGTGGGTGCTGTTCCTGCCTCCTTTCTTAAAAGCACTGTAAGTTAAAAATACCTGCTTCAGACCAGCTGGACTCAGTTAACTACCAAGCTGATGAACCACCGTCCTAACAGGATTATTACAACCAGCCCAAATATGTGCAACACACATCAGTAGAAGATTTCTGTCGCTGCCACCTCATAAGTAGTAAGAAAGCTACAAAAAAAAGTCCTATTGCTAATTCAGGCAATGAAGACGTTGACCTCCACTGACTAACAGCAAATTCAGTGCAAATGGGAATACAGATACTTAGTTGCCTAAGGATACATATATATATGCCAAATAATAGTTTCATTTTCTGCATCTTTTCACACTTTCATATCATTATCAGTCTAGCCCTCAGATAGTCCTTATTAACTCCTTTTAATACCTGGCAAACCCATTCCTCAGCACACCTACTGTCTGTACCCAGCTGAATCATTTTACTTTCCCATACAAAGGGGAAGGCAAAACTGGCCAGGAGCCATATCCAACCTGTAAAATTGTGAGCCATCACCCAGACCGAATAAAAAAACCTGTGGCAAACCCACTGTAAATGTAAATGTTGACTTTCAGTATTTTATGGTAGTGGCTCCTCAGCCTCAAGAATTCAGGGACGCAAAACACATAGCACATGAACACCATGCATTTCTAAAGCTTTGTGAAGGTTTTCCTTTTTGGAGATGAAGGAAGAACAAAATAGAATGAAGCAGAAAAAGGAATCACAACCACAGAGGCAGGAAAATCATTACTCAAGTTATCTCTATTGCATTTTCTGGAGAGAAGGAGAGCCAACGAGAACCTCTGACAAAGCAGAAGGAATAGGAAACACTCAAAATTCCCATTGATTTCACTACTCCTGAGCTACACCTACACAACATATAAAGTAGCAAGAGGCATAACAGAGTAAATGTAAACCACTTTTGCCAGCCTCACCAGCAATTCCAAGCAAATGGCCTGACACTACACAACAAATCTGACACTATCCAACCATTAACATTTGCAAGAGATGCTGTCTGGGACAGAGGTCTTTGGGCATACAATGGGGCCAGAACAGTGAACAGCAGAAGGAAATGGGATTAAAAGAAAGAAAAGTTGGGGAGGTCTCAAGCCATTTAAAAAAAAAAGTAGAAAAGGAGAGCTACTGGTGTCTTTTGATTAAGACATAACTGCTTTTACCAGATTATTTCTTCAAACCTTCTGAGATGTGCTCACACAGCCTTTAGTTTCTTCTCAGACAGCTAAAGCACTGGCTTTCAATCCTCAAGAAGGCATGTGTTTCATTTTACTTCAGAGCTCTTGCTTTCAAACCATTATAATGAGCGGAAAATTTGCTTTTACTTTCCAGCAAGAGTCATTCAACTTTGACACAGTGTTCAATAGGTCCTGTCTCAGAACAACACCTGAAACCAGCAACTAGTGGCAGCCATAGGTGAAAACGCATAGAATCACAGAATCACAGAATGGTTTGGGTTGAAGGGTCCTTCAAGATCCTCTAGTTCCAATCCCCTGCTGTGGGCAGGAACACCTTCCACTAGACCAGGTTACTCAGAGGCCCATCCAACCTGGCCTTGAACACTTCCAGGGATGGGGGCATCCACAACTTCTCTGGTCAACCTGTGCCAGTGCCTCACCACCCTCGCAGTAAAGATTTTTTTCCTAATATCCAATCTAAACCTTCCCTCTTCCAGTTTGAATCCACTTCCTCTTTGTCCTGTCACTACATGCCCTTGTAAAAAGTCCCTCTCCATCTTTCCTGTAGGCTCCCTTCAGGTACTGGAAGGCCACAATTAGGTCACCTCAAAGTCTTCTCTTTTCCAGGCTGAACAATCCCAATTCTCTCAGCCTTTCCTCATAGCAGATGTGCTCCATCCCTCTAACCATCTTGTTGGCCCTCCTCTGGACTTGCTCCAACAGGTCAATGTCCTTATAGTGCTGGGGGCATACCCTTTCAGACAGTTCCAGCCCTAGAAGACACCACGTTGGCTCTCAAGACAGCAATACAGTCAGAGTCAACAGCATTAGTTTGGATCTGGTTGCCATGCTGCCATGGGCATGCAGGACCCTTGGCCCCTCACTCATTAAACCTTCCCACCAGCTGTCAGGTCCACCCTGCATACACCATGTTTCTCCTCCTGCATTCTCTACATGCTCAAGGATCCTTTTTAAAAAACCCATCCCTGGACACCAAATCCTTATTTCTCCAAGTTCATTTTCATAATAAAAATCAAAGAACTAAAACTACATGGGAGGAGCAGAAGTTTAGGAAGCTCATGGAACAAAAAAAATATAGCTACCATGAGGCCATGGATCCATGCAAACACTTGAATATAGATGAGAAAACTATTGTGTGAAACAGGACTTCAGCTGAAGCAGGAGAGCTAATTACTAGCACAGGAAAGACACTGAGATCCTCTTTTGCTCAAAACTGTCATGATGCTAGACAGTCTCTGCTGCACTGCACTAGTTTATTGAGTAAGTTCTAGTTTCTGCTATAAATTTTCCTTAGTACTGTTATCAGGGAAGAAGGAAAGACAAAAAGAGGTAAGAACCATCATAACCAATAACCTTGGTAACAGCCTTGCAGAAAAACATCTGAGTTATTTTATAAACAACCCAACACGTAATCACTAATTGCTCTACTTAACAGATGTATTTTCCAGATGCAGAAGTCTATTTTAGGACACTATACATCACCATACTCTGCATTACCAAAAAACCTGACCTTTCATATGGGTTTCTCTGGCCCTTACTTGAACTGTTAAAGTGTTTTGTCACATGATTGCTTCTTTTTTAACCCAGGCTAAAACTAATTTTCTTTGACAAATGGTTTTAAAAATTCAAAGGGAAAATAATCACACACCCATCACTTCAAAGTCTGGAAATAAACTGTGACTCATTTTTCCAAGTTGCTCCCTTCTCAAGGGGGTCCAAACACATTAGTTCTGTAATGGGAGCGATACACTTTCAAAGAAAAAAAATGTTGATTGTGCTGAGTACTGTGACAGGTACATATAAAAAAGGCTTTTAAATGCTAAAAAAAGAGAAGGAGTTAGTTTTAAAAACAGAGCAAAATCCACATGTGTGTGCAGACTAGTCCTGTCCCAAGAAGATAATCAGAGGACACCAATCAGGGCTCCAGACCATGCTATCTCAGAACTGAATGAAGTTATAAATACCACTGTAAACATTATTCATATCTGAAGAAAATTATGAATAATAAATATGATATTGGGATTTTTGCCCCCCCCCCCATCCCTTTTCTTTAAAAAGACAAAACAAGAAATCACACTGCATCACATTTTTTTTTCTCGCAAACGTCTTAAAAACTGTCCAAGTTAAATCTGGATGCATATCTTTCTACTCCCCGAAACAGGAAGGCACTGCTTGCATAGCTCACTACATTCACTACCTCCCCATCCTGCCCACAGAGAAATCCATGATGTGAGTCTGTGACCATACTCAGCCAATGCAGTCCAAGCAGTAACTTCCAGTCACTAACATCCTTCATGGATCGGAATTGGCATTACTGCTGTGAAAGGTACTGTATCTTATTACCCATGCCTGAGCTCTTTAATCCACTCAGTGAGCTGCATTCTAAGTATGTTAATCCATTGATAGATGAGAGATTTATGTTGGAAAATCCTACTGATGCTGGGGAAAGGAGCAGCTCAGTAGGTCCTTTGTGCACTGACTGGAGAAAACTCTATATAGCTTGAGGGTGAAGAGGGTTGAGATTAAAAGACCTCCTCTGGGAGGCACATTGCATGTCAGATATGAAAAACATAAAGCAGGCAGAGACAGCATTGTAAATAACCACGGTTAGCACTAGCTGGGGCAAAATGCAAGTAGCAAATTCAAGATTCTGG